GGCCACTCTTACCCAGAAACTAGCCACTCCCAGCACGCTAAATGGACCCAGGAAGAGAGGCCACTAGAAGTCCCTACTCTCATTAACCCCCAAAATCCTGTCTCCTTGGTTTAGAGGAATGATACCACGATTTTCTCCCATCTTTCCCCACTGTTTTTAAAGAGGAACAATCTGCAGCCAGGGGCTGGGAAAAGCTGCCAGAAAATCAGGATGGATTTGGGGACAGTGGCCCGTTCTGTCCACTCAGCTGTCCTGTTGGACTGATGACCTGGAACCCGCAGTTCAGAAGACTCCTCATGGGATGCCCCACCCCACAGAGTGGGGGTGTGGTGGGTGGCCGGATGCGTAGTGCAGGGACGTTTGTTATTTGAAGTGTGCTAGACGACGTGTATAAGTCACATGGGTGTGTGTCACTGTGTGTGCCGGCGTGCCTTATAGGTGTGCGTGTTTCCTTGTCAGTTTTGACACGGATTCTATGAAATTAATACGGGTTTTTCCGTTAGATACATCACTCCTCTACACCCCCAGCTCCTCCTTCCCTCTGGACAAGCTTTCCACCCAGCCCGCCTCTTCCCCAGGTGCAGCGGGCCGGGGGTGAGGGCACACGGTACCAGCCGCCCGCAGAGCCGAGACAGGGCTGGGCCGAGAGACCGCCAGGGAGGCGAGTCCGAAGCCAGAGCGGGCGGGGAGGGGCGGGCGCCGGCCTGGCCGAGCCGGCTGGGCGGGAAGCAGGCTGCATCCTAATCCCCAGGCCCCGGTCGGAGTCCCGAGCCGCCGTGCAGCGTGGACGGGCTGGCCGGAGCCACGCCGCCTCCAGCACACGCTCGGCGCTCGGGACGCACCGACCGCGGGACTGACCCCGGGGGGCCTGACACGGGCGGACCCGTCCGGGGTCCCCGCGCTCCCCGTCCGGCGCCCCGGGTCGTCACCCCGCCAAGCCGAGACCTCCACATCTGCCCCTTCCCGCAACGCGTCTCCTCCCCGCCCCTCTCACCGCCTCTGGAGCTGAGCGCTCAGGGCGCGGGCACTCCTGCGTCCCCGGTTCCCGAGCAGCGTTCGGAACCTCCTCTTCGGCTCCCGCCGCCGCCGCCGCCGCTTCAGCCGCCGCCGCCGCCGCCGCCTCTTCCGCCCGCGGAGCCGGAGCCCGAGCCCAGCGCCGCTCACTCCACCCGGCTGGCCGGTGATGTCAGAGCCGGGGAGGGGCGGGGGGCGGGGAATGGCGCGAGGAGGGGGAGGGGGGAGGCAGGAGGGGGCGGGGACCGAGGGGCTGGGGTTCTGGAAGACTCCTAGGATGGGGGCAGAATTGGGCAGAGGGCTGGAGCAGAGGCGGTCTCTTCCCCCTGAACTGCGCAGCAGTCCTCTTGTTTAATTCTTTCCCAGCGGGACACCCTACTCCCCTTTTGACCTTTGGATGACCACGGTGGCCAGGACCCCTGGGAGGCACAGAATAAGTTCAGTTAAGGAGTTTGGAAAGCCTTTGGGGGCTGGATTATCTTAGTTGCCAGCTTTGGTGTTTGTAAGAACTTCTTTCCATGCCTTAAGGGTCAGGGGAGCCGTGGTAAATGACTGATCAGATTTATCCACGTGGGCAGTGAAGGTAGGGGGTCCGGGCCACGTGGGGACCTGAGGAGCCCTGGATCGTCTCTTTCCAGGGTGATGCCTGCAGGCCCTCTTGTGTTCCTCTCACCTTTCCCAAACATGCCCCACTCCTGCCTTCCCCCTACTGTGATGTAATTTTATTTTCTGGGGAGAAAAAGAGCAGCAGTGAGCTCAGCATGCAAATATAGACAACTTGCAGAGCCACACTTAGCTCTGTCTCCTAGTTCTGCCCCTCTGCCCAGGCCCATTGTGGCAGCTCTCACTTCCCCTCTACCCCAGGGACTTTCCTCCCCCAGACTCTCAGCCAGACTGAAAGAGGAAAGGGAGAATTGGAGAAGCCTTTGTTTTCACCCTCATCTCTAGCCTAAGGGGTTCTGCCTCAGCTCTGGGCAGGGTTTGGCCCTGGAAAGAAGTCTGTCCCCGGGTTGGTCCTTCCTGCCAAGAACTCCAGCAGGCCCAGGTTGGGGGATCCTCTCAGTGTCTGTGCCACTTCCAGGATCACCCCATCTCGCCTTAGTTTCAACCTGGTAGAGATTCCTCCAGAAACCTCTGATGAGCCCCTCCTTTCTTCTACGCCACTCCTAGAAGAGGCTCAAGTTCCTGCTGCTCTGGGCTTCACAGCCTTTCTCTGCTGTTTCCTCTCCCTAGCATTCCCTGGCACACCTTAATCATTTGCCTTTGTATATGTCATGTTTGCTCTGTGTTGTAGGGACAAAAGCTATTTCCTTGTAGTTTCTAAGTGGAAAGGCTCAGGTCTGGAGACAAGAAGACACTGGGCCTTGGGTGCGAGCTAGCTCCACCCCTTCCTTGGGCAAGTTATGCCTGAAGCCTTAGCGTCCTTGCTGGTCAGATGAGGGTGCCAGTGCCTATTTCTTTCTTTTTTTTTTTTTTTTTTTTTTGAGACAGAGTTTCGCTCTTGTTACCCAGGCTGGAGTGCAATGGCGCAATCTCGGCTCACCGCAACCTCCGCCTCCTGGGTTCAGGCAATTCTCCTGCCTCAGCCTCCTGAATAGCTGGGATTACAGGCATGCGCCACCATGCCCAGCTAATGTTTTGTATTTTTAGTAGAGACGGGGTTTCACCATGTTGATCAGGGTGGTCTCGATCTCTTGACCTCGTGATCCACCCGCCTCGGCCTCCCAAAGTGCTGGGATTACAGGCGTGAGCCACCGCGCCCGGCCTCCAGTGCCTATTTCTGAGGGTTCTTCCGAGATTCAGAAATACTTAAGTCTCTAGGGACTGGCACAGATGGGTTCTTAAAAAATAGGAGCTATTGTTTAGACCGGGGCCTTCCACTGACCTATGCTAGACAGTCAGCCCCGCAATATTATTGTAATACTAGCTTAGTGCCCATACTACTTATTAAGCATTGATTAAATAGGTACAAGTTGGAATGAATACTTAGTTTCTACTTTCTACACTCCTGTCACCTTCTCTAGGAACACTTCCTGGACTTGTCTGTAGAGAGTGAAGATATATCAATCTCAGGGCTCGTCTTTCCGTACTTAGAAATCCTCTAAGTCTCGCAGCAACAACTTCACACCTGATCCATGAAAAACATAATGTTGGCCGGGCACAGATGGCACATGCCTGTAATCCCAGCACTTTGGGAGGCCAAGGTGGGTGGATCACCTGAGGTCAGAAGTTCGAGACCAGCCTGACCAACAAGGTGAAACCCCGTCTCTACTAAAAATGCAAAAAATGTTAGCCGGCATGGTAGCAGGCACCTGTAGTCCCCTCGGGAGGTAGAGGTTGCATTGAGCTGAGATCGCCCCACTGCATTGTGGCCTGGGCAACAGAGCGAGACTCCATCTCAAAAAAAAGAAAGAAGGCCGGGCGCGGTGGCTCAAGCCTGTAATCCCAGCACTTTGGGAGGCCAAGGCGGGTGGATCACGAGGTCAAGAGATCGAGACCATCCTGGTCAACATGGTGAAACCCCGTCTCTACTAAAAATACAAAAAATTAGCTGGGCATGGTGGCGCGTGCCTGTCATCCCAGCTACTCAGGAGGCTGAGGCAGGAGAATTGCCTGAGCCCAGGAGGCGGAGGTTGCGGTGAGCCGAGATCGCGCCATTGCACTCCAGCCTGGGTAACAAGAGCGAAACTCCGTCTCAAAAAAAAAAAAAGAAAGAAAGAAAGAAAACTATAATGTTTATTATTTATGGGCTTGGGCTTGTTTAGCTATTTGGCCCTCCCTTACCCCACCCCTGAAACTTCTCTTTGCTCACCGCAGCCTGGGCCTCTACTGGAGAGACTGTGGGTCCTTCTTGCCAAGACCTCCAGCAGGCCCAGGTCTGGGAGATGCCCGTCGTATGCAATAGCTCCTCCCCATTCCCATGACCACCACCTCTCCCAACAGCACTCTAATTTTTCTAACAGTCACTGATTATGAGTTGGGCTACTTGCCTCTGGCATCCTTCATCACCTCCTCATCCTGCTTATCGCTACTGGATTAAATTTTGCCCTGCCTCCTCAGCTCGAAGAATTCAACTCAAACAGCTCTACAACCCAGCCCCACTATGCGTACCCGACTGCGCGGCCATGACTTGAATTTCTCTTCTCATCTGTCTGGTCTCTGTGTCCCCAATATGACAAACACATCCTGCCAGAGCTTGCTGTTTCCACTGGCTAAAATGTCTCCTCCTCAGCTCCTTTGTCTCCAACCAAATCCCATTCTTTGATTTAAGGCCTGGTAAAGGCTTACTTACTTTGTGAAGTCATCACACCCACTCTGATCGCTTTTCTGAGTCCATTCTGTTCTTTCCTTTGTTCTTCCTTTAAAAAACATTTATTAGAGACAACTTTTGAGTGTCAGACCCTGTGCACACAAAGAAAAAGCTTGGGTTCCTGCCTTCAAGGGGCTCGCAGTTGAGTGGGGAAGACAGACATGTAAGTGAAGAACAATAATAGACTGATCTGAGTACTGGAATGGAAATGCAGCGGGAACTCAGAAGAGATCATTGCTGGAGGGACCACCTCTGGGAAGGCCTCACCAAGGAAGGATAGATAATTGGAGCTCAGTCTTAATGTTCAAATAAGAGCTGCAGAGAGGGTGCTATCTAGCAGCACATAATCACTTAATTACATATTGCTTTGTATTTTTCTTCAATTGTTTAGTGTGTTTGTCTTGACTTCTTGGTGAGGCTAATCAGCTCAAGAGCAGGGACAGGCCTGGCATTCTCTGTTCTCCCGGAGCCTAACAGCAGCCCTGGACAAACACCATGGTGTTCAGAAAAGGCTTGTTGACTTGAAGCAGATAAATAATCCAGGCTTCTCTGGGAAAGCTGCCTGGAGGAACCCCAGGCCCCCTATCGGAGTCCCCCGGCTCTTCCCTGGCAAGGTACCCACATCTAAATCCCCCGTCAGAGGCCACCTCCTCCTGCCATAGGCACCAACATACACTTGTTCATGCTGCCCCAGATGTCTTTATTGAGGCCTCTCATCTGACCCAAATACATTAACAAGTGATTGCTGAGATACAGTCCCAAACAAAGTATCCTCCCTTCCTTCCGGCCAGGGACAGGACTGTCCAAAGACACAGGAGTAGAAGAGTGAGGGAAGGCTGTGCATAGATGGAGGGAACAGAACATATATAGGGCTAAAGGAGAATCACAAGAAAGAGTAGGTAGAGTGATGGAAGAGACACATAATAGATGAACGTAAGTTATGGGATAAGAAACAGAAGTCAGATGAGAGAGAGCTGGGCTGGTGTCTAGGGAAAAGTAGCTCGTTTCCTCATCAAAGGAGGGGGATCGGGGTCTCAGCACCCAGTGCATAGACCTCAGTTAGCTCAATGGCAGAGAATAACCTAGTGTCCTTGGAGGAACTCAGGAAGGACAAGGGAAGGCAGGAGAGAGCATGAAAAGATCAGTGGGGCTGAAAGATGGTTGCCTCAGTGACTAGTCATCATCGTCGTCGTCATCGTCGTCATCGTCCTCTGTGTTGATCTCGCCCTCTAGCACGTCCTCCAGCCAGTCCTCCAGCTCCTCAGCAGAAGGCAGGTCCTCCTCGTTGTCCATCTCCATCCATATGCTATCCGCCTAGGAGAGGGCGCGGGCGGGGGGTGGAAGCTAAGTCCCGCCCAGGTCTTTGGATCTGTCCTCCCGCTCACTGGACCGTTTACGTCCTTCCCCACTTCCTCGATCCCTTCCTTTCTTCTGCCAATGGCCAGGGAAACTGTCCAGGTGAAGGTGTGTGTGGTGTGTGTTAGAATCGTGACAGGTGAGGGTGGGAAGAAAAGCTGGATTGCAAAATAGACCTTCTCCCTTCAGTCTGTCTTCCCTGCTCTTGCCACACTGAACTTCCCTATCATGCCTTTGTTGCAAAACCACTGGTAGCTCTTCATGGCCTAAGAATAAAGTCAGCAACTCTTCAGCATTCAGGATGTGTCTTTCTTTCCTTAATTTTTTTCTAAAAGAGACAGGGTCTCACTGTTCTGTCCGGGCTGGAGTGCAGAGGTGCAGTCGTGGATCACTGCAGCCTTGAACATCTGGGCTCAAGTGATCCTCCCGCCTTGGCCTCCCAAAATGCTGGAATTACAGGCCTGAGCCACCACCCCCGGCCCCAGGGCTTTTCATAACCTGCTTTTCTAGTACCATTCTCAGTGATCTCTAGACTCTCAGCCATAAAAATCTACCTGCCTTTTCCTGAAACGAATCTTCATTTTCCTGCTTTTGACCTTTTTGATCTTGCTCTTTCCTCAGTTTAGAACCGACTTCCCTGAATCATCACTTGTTGATATCCTATACGTTAGGCATGGTGGCTCACGTCTGTAATCCCAGCACTTCGGGAGGCCAAGGCAGGCAGATCCCCTGAAGTTAGGAGTTTGAGACCAGCCTGACCAACATGGAGAAACCCCGTCTCTACTAAAAAATACAAAATTAGCCGGCATAGTGGCACATGCCTATAGTTCCAGCTACTCAGGAGGCTGAGGCAGGAGAATGGCTTGAACTCAGGAGGGGGAGGTTGCAGTGAGCCAAGATCGTGCCATTGCACTCCAGCCTGGGCAACAAGAGCCAAACTCTGTCTTAAAAAAAAAAGAAAGAAAGAAATCCTATATATATAATCTCCATTTTGAATGCCACTTTTTCTTGAACTTTCCTCTGATTCTGTCTAGCAGAAATCAATGTGATTCCTGTGTCCTATTTTATTTGTATCTTTATTATAAAGTTTATCAGACCTGCCCTTGTAGTTAATGGAATACCTGCATCTCCAATTAGTCTGATAATTCTATGAAAGCAGAGACTGTGGCTCATTCTGTTCAACTTAGTAGTTTTGTTGTTGTTGTTTTTGTTTTTGAGACAGAGTCTCACTCTGTCACCCAGGCTGGAGTGCAATGGCACAATCTTGGCTCACCGCAACCTCCGCCTCCCAGGTTCAAGCAATTCTCCTGCCTCACCCTCCTAAGTAGCTGCGATCACAGGTGCCTGACACCACGTCCAGCTACTTTTTGTATTTTTAATAGATACAGGGTTTCACCGTGTTGGCCAGGCTGGCCTCGAACTCCTGACCTCATGATCTGCCTGCCTTGGCCTCCCAAAGTGCTGGGATTACAGGTGTGAGCTACAGCACCTGGCCTAACTTAGCAGTTTTGAAGCACCTCCTGTGTGTGCATGAGACGACTTCTGCCCTGAACAAGCTCAAAAGTCTACTGAAAAAGAATAAAATATGAAATATATAAAATAAAAAGAAAATAAAATATAAAAAAAAAAATAGCCATTTAAATGTCGTCTTCTCAATGGTTAATGAGCCCTGGAGTGCCAGGGAGGGAATGATTCTAAGTGGGAGATCTGGAAAGACTTCACAGAGATGAAAGGGTTTGAACTGGGCCGTGAAGGATGAGCCACTGATTCCAACATGTGGGACAGGGCCGTATTCAGATCATAAGTCTCTGCCTCCATCCAGCCACTAGACTGGGCATGTCTGTGTCCTGTGGGAAGGACCCAACTCCTAATTAGCAGAGAGGACGAGAGCTAGCTAGGCTGGGAAGCAGAGTCGGGGGTCAACCAGGAATGTGGACAGAAAACTCACATCAGTAACATTGACGACTCCTATCTGTGGGGCTGACAAGTCGATGTCAAACGTCTTCTCCCAGTATGGGACGAGCTGCAGAGAGATCCAAATATGGCAACTTAGTGGATGCTAGGAACACATGAATTCAGGAGGATGAGTATGAGGGCCAGCCCAGGGATGGAGAGGGGACAGCGTGAAATGGCAGTGGATGGGGACAGGTCCAGCTGTGAGGGCACCAAGACAATGGGTAGAACTCAGCAGCGAAAGAGGAGAAATCCTGAAGGGAGAGCATCGGGAGGGTCCGCCAGCCGCACTGGCCCCTCTTCTCTGAGGAAGACTGGATCTTAAACCCTGTTCTCATCCTGGATCAGATCCTCGTGTTCAAGGTCAAGTCCCTTCTCTCTGGCCCTCAGATCTTACTTTTCTGAAACAAGGCAGGTATACCTGGTAAGTACCAACGTTTCTCACATTTCTCCTTGTTCTTTCAGTTACTCATTCAACAACGAGTGCTATGTGTTGAGAATTCAGCTGAGAAACAAAACCATCTCTCGAAACATGGAATCTCTGTGCTATGATTCTAGGATTGAGTGTGTATACCCATGTGAAGGGCTGTTGTGCTTCAAAACACTGGTTTTCTTTAGGAGTGAGCCCTGGTACCAGAGCGACCCATCCAGCGTCTGTTCTCGGGATCGTGTGTGAGGTCCCATCCTGTTCCCCCTTGCTCAGGATATCCTCCCTGCCCACAGTGCCCTTGGGCATGCAACACGCATACCCTCCCAGGGTCCCCCAGCTAGGAGGTGCGGATAAGCACTCTGAAACAAAGCCCTCACTAAGAAGATGCCACAATCCAAGGCCCCACCTTAGGATAGCAGTGCCTGAGCTGTGCCTCTTACCAGGGGGAAGTCATCAGGGTCAATCCAGATGATACTAAGATCAGGGTTTTCAGTGTTTTCTTGGGCCACCGCCTTGAGAGTCTCTAAGAACTCGAAGCCATCTTGGAGGGAACACCAGTGCGAAGTGTGAGGCGTGTGGAGAGGAAAGGGACCCAGATGAAACGGGAGTACCCCGCCACCTCCCTGCTCCCCCAGCTCCACTTGCCTAGCCATAGGCTGCTTGCAAACTCCCAGGAAAGCCTCCGAGTGAGGCCTATGCTCCAATAAACACACCCACCTCCCCCTGCCTTCCCTCCCGTCCAACCCAGTATTCCTCCCTCACCGGGATCGGCTTCCTCTGCGAAGGCCACAATGTGGATTCCATCCATATCATCCTCCTGTCAGGGGGTAAGAGGGAGAACGGGGTTTTGGAGAAGACTTTACTATACTCCCTGAAGTTGGAGAGACCAGAACAGATCCTAGATGTTCACTGAACCTCAATTGTGCAGAAATCCAGTTTCGGGACCAGATATAGTCTTGTGAGGGTGACCTTTTCCCATGGGACACTCCCTTTCAGCTCCAAGGCCCCACACTTCCTCTGATAATTCCTTTATCCCCAGGCTTGAGGCTCCTCCCTTGTCATCTTCACTTATGTCTGTCCCTCATTTCCTCACATGTTCTTCAGAGTAGAAAACTTCCCACTGCTGAGCTGGGCGGGGTGGCTCCCGCCTGCAATCCCAGCACTTTGGGAAGCCAAGGCGGGCGGGGTCACGAGGCCAGGAGTTCGAGACCAGCCTGGCCAACAAGGTGAAACCCATCTCTACTAAAAATACAAAAAATATTAGCTGGGCATGGTGGCAAGCGCCTATAATCCCAGCTACTACTCAGAAAGCTGGGGCAGGAGAATTGCTTGAACCTGGGAGGAGGTTGCAGTGAGCCGAGATCTTACCACTGTACTCCAGCCTGGGAGACAGCGAGACTCTGTCTCAAGAAGAAAAGAAAAAACAACCTCCCGCTACTGCTAGTGTATTGTTTTTACCTTTCTTTTTTTCTTTTTCTTTTCTTTTTTTTTTTTGAGATGGAGTTTTACTCTTGTTGCCAGGCTGGAGTGCAATGATGCCATCTCAGCTCACCACAACCTCCGCCTCCTGGGTTCAAGCGATTCTCCTGCCTCAGCCTCTCAAGTAGCTTGGATTACAGGCATGTACCACCACACCTGGCTAATTTTTTTGGTATTTTTAGTAAAGATGGGATTTCTCCATGTTGATCAAGCTGGTCTTGAACTCCCAGCCTCGGGTGATCCGCTCACCTCGGCCTCCCAAAGTGCTGGGATTACAGGCGTGAGCCACCATGCCAGGCTGGGCACTATTTTTTCTACCAGTCGGCCTGAGGAACAGCAGGGTGGGATTTTTCTAGGACTTGACTCTTCCGGCACCTATGCTTCCCTGAGGGCCCTGGCAGGGACACTCACCCAGGTCTCATACATACTCTCAGGCTTCAGTTTTCTCAGGGTTGATCTAGAAGAGAGACAGCGTGTCATTAGCTCAGTGGGTTAGCGGGATGTCCCCTCCAGAGGGTCCCGTAGCAGAGGCTGCCTCTAGGTCAGGCTCAGGGCACAGACAGCTTGTAGCCTAGAACAAAGCCATCTGGCAAGGCCTCAACTCTGGGCACCAGGCCCAGCTCATTGCATGGTTAAAGTGGTGGGAAAATGGAGGGTGGGCAAAGGGACTGGAGAGAGACTCTGGGGAGAAAGGCAAGAACTGGACAGCAAGGTCTTCATTCGTTATGTATTCGTGCATTCACTCGTTCACTATGATTGAGTGCTCAACATGTTCTAAGGGCTGCGCCAGGAGCTGGGTGGAGCTGAACCAGGCAGGCATGTTCCTGCCTTGACGAAGGGAGCTGGTAGTATGGGAGCGAGCAAGGACCGTTTCTGCTGGTGACTGGGTATTTCCGGCTGTGGACTGCTACAAAGGAAGGGAATTAGCTGTGAGTGCAGGGCAGGGGTATTCAACCTCAGCACCACTGCCATTTGGGGCCAGAGAATTCTTCGTAGCAGGGGGCTGTCCTGCACACTCCAGAATGTTTCGCAGTATCCCTGGCCTCTATCCACTAAATACTAGTGGCACTTCGCACAACCAAAAATGTGTCTAGACATTGCCAGACATCCTCTGGAGGGCAAAATCTTGTGCCCGCCTTGCCACGCCTTCCAGCCTCATAGAGAACCACATGGGGCTGGGCACAGTGGCTCATGCCTCCAGCACTTTGGAAGGCTGAGGTGGGTGGATCACTTGAGGTCAGTCTGAGACCAGCCTGGGCAACATGGTGAAACCCCATCTCTACTAAAAATACAAAAATTAGGCAGTGTGGTGGCGTGCCTGTAATTCCAGCTACTTGGGAGGCTGAGGCAGGAGAATTGCTTGAGCCTGGGAGGCGGAGGCTGCAGTGAGCCAAGATGGTGCCACTGTACTCCAGCCTGGGCAATGAAGTGAGTGGGGGATTTTCGATCTCGGAAAAAAGAAAAGAACGAACGAACATGGGACACATCAGCGTCAAAATCCCAGCTCTGACACTTATGACCTGTAGAACCTTTCACTGAGGTTGTTAAAGGACTTAACACAATAATAGAGGTGGAAAGCACCTTGCAGTTCCTGGCAGACTGCAGGCAGGCAGCACTCATTTGTGGACAGAGATCACTGAAGTCACACTCAACCTCAAATTGAATTACATGCATTTATGGAGGACCTTCTCTGTGTAGGGCTCAGGGCTAAGTACTCGGGTGTAAAATATTGTGCAAAATGATCAGTGTGTCAGAGAGCACTGGTGCCCAAAGTGGATTCATCTCCAGGCGAGACTGGCTTCCCCTAGTCCATCTCACACCGTGTGTTCCAGCCCGAGGAGGAGCCGACCCCGCTCAGAGGGCTGCCCTTGGCCCCCACCTCCTGTGCTCCTCCACGAAGCTGACAATCTCCTCTTCGCTATTGGGCTTGTCTGGGATGGTCACAGGCTCGTCCATGAAAGCCTCATAGAAATCAATCTCGTTCAGCTTCAGGGTCAGCTTCTTTGCCACCTTTGGGAGAGGGGGTAGGAGGGGAGCGGAACAGGAGACGCAGGGTCATGTCGAGAAGCAGTATCACCAGGGAACACACATGAGGAAAGGAGTCAGGAAGCTGGGATCCTTGTCACTGCCACGTGACACCTGACAAGTGTCTTAACTTCTCTGGGGTTGGGTTTAACATGAGACAGCTGTCAGACCATCTAAAGCCCCTCTTCAGCTCTGAATCTATGGAGTGGGAGGAGCCGGGGAGGGGTGGGGCGTGCCAGTGCATAGGAAGGGACTAGGTCTGCCATGGATTCTGGGAGGGGAAGCTGGGGGACAGCTTCAGGATGCGAGGGACACCCAATACAGCCGCGGGGAGGAGAACCTTGCTGTCGAAGGTGGCGAAGAAGGGGATGTAGGGATGAAACTCCTCAGCTGCATCCTCGAAGGCTTTGTAATCTGAGGGGGGAATGCAGAGTCAGTCTCTGGGGAAACCAGGGGCTGCCGGGGAATCATCCGCCACTACGGTCCCCAATTCTTTGCGGGCAGGGTTCATTTTGAGACCCACCCCCTCTAGTCCTCCAAGAGTGAGGGGAAGGTGAAATACTGGAGGTACTTGTCTGGGAATCCTCAGAGTACAGGGAGATCAGAGCTGTTGATGGCGCTGACCACGGCTGGAGGAAGAGATGGGAACTGAGGAGGTAGAGGCTGAGACGAGGGCAAGATGGGGATCCAGGGAGGGGCACAGTGGAGTCTGAGGGTTACCCACGCTCTGAGTCTTTGCTCTTGAAGTAGCCAATGAGTTTGATCTCATCCTCAATATTCTCAAATGCCTGGAGCTCTCGATCACCTTCAATCAATTCCACAGGGTCCTCTAGGACCTGAAAGAGGAGGACATTGCAGGAAGAGAGTTTTTATCCTCGAGTAGAACCAGAAAGGGACCCAGGGAAAAGAGAGCTAGGGAACTGGAGGAGGGGACTAGATGTTGACAGTGTGTGTGTCGGGGGTTGTGTGTGGGTGTGCATGCGTGTGTGGTGTGTGTGGAGTATGTGTTGTGCATGTGTGGTGTGTGTGAATGTGATGTGTGTGTGTGGTGGGTGTGTGGTATATATATGATGCGTGCGTGATGTGTATGGATGTATGTGTGTGGTGTGCATGTGTGGTGTGTGTGAATGTGATGTGTGTGTGAATGTGATGTGTGTGTGTGGTGGGTGTGTGGTATGTATATGATGTGTGCGTGATGTGTATGGATGTATGTGTGTGTTGTGTATGTGTGGTGTGTGTGAATGTGATATGTGTGTGTGTGGTGGGTGTGTGGTATATATATGATGCGTGCGTGATGTGTATGGATGTATGTGTGTGGTGTGCATGTGTGGTGTGTGTGAGTGTGATATGTGTGTGTGGTGGGTGTGTGGTATATATATGATGCGTGCTTGATGTGTATGGATGTATGTGTGTGGTGTGCATGTGTGGTGTGTGTGAGTGTGATATGTGTGTGTGTGGTGGGTGTGTGGTATATATATGATGCGTGCGTGATGTGTATGGATGTATGTGTGTGGTGTGCATGTGTGGTGTGTGTGAGTGTGATATGTGTGTGTGTGGTGGGTGTGTGGTATATATATGATGCGTGCGTGATGTGTATGGATGTATGTGTGTGGTGTGCATGTGTGGTGTGTGTGAGTGTGATATGTGTGTGTGTGGTGGGTGTGTGGTATGTATATGATGTGTGCGTGATGTGTATGGATGTATGTGTGTGGTGTGCGTGGGGTGCATATGTGTGGTGCGTGGTACGTAGGTGATGTGTGGCCTATTGTGTGCATGTGCATGCATATGTGTGGTGTGTGTGCGCGTATGGTGTGTGTGCATGTGGTGTATGTGTGCAGGGTCAGGTTGCGGTTGGTAGGAACTAGGGGGCAGGCAGTGGAGCCTTCAAGGAAAGCTGTCCAGTCAAGGGGAGTCCGTACATCAAGCAGAAACTCCACGAGGGTGTCAGCAGAAAACTCGCCATCGTACTCAATGACTTCATCTCCCTTGAACACGTACACGCTGTCCACTTCAGTTAGGCCTAGGGAGTGAGCTGGGGGTGAGGCACGATCCCAGGCTTCCCACAGATGCGAAGTCCAAATCCTAGGCCACAGCCCATGTGATAATCGCCTGGGCCCACGTGCTCCACCTCCTGGGCCCGCGGCCCCACCCACCTCCTCTGACCCCAGACTGATGGGCCTGATGTCTCTGCCCCTGGATTTAGCCCAGGAGGCTAGTCTGACCCCAGGGCTCTCTAAGGAGAAGCTGGAGGATCACGGAGGATAGGTAGGGTGAGGGAAGGGAATAGAAAGATGTATTTCTCCCCTTCTCCGATTACCACGACTAGAGATGAGTACTCACGCCCCTCTGAGGGCTCTAGTAGCTGGTTCCCAGGCCAAGCTCTTTAATTGCTATTACTGACCAGATGACTGCATTATTACTGACCACCCCTACCCCATCTATGTCCAGAATCCCGTCTCGACCCTGTGCTGCCCCCTGGTGGCTAGCTGCTGTAACAACCATGGCTCTGGAGGGGAAGGGTTGGAAGCGGAGTGTGCAGAGGTCCGGCCAGGCTCAGCCTGCGGGGGACTCCCCTTCCCTCCAGCACCTAGCCATGTTTCTTAGGTAAGCATAAAGAAGGCCTCCCCACCTCCTTCTAGGATTTGAGCATGGGACTTGATAAGGAATAAAGAGGGAGAGTCTCCCAGCCATAACCCTCCCAACTTGGTATTTTCTCACCCCCTGTTTTAGAATAGATGTAGATCGCAGAGGCTCCCAAGCCCCTCAGACCCCGAGGCCGGCCTGAAAGGTCCTCCGCCCTAAGCCTCCCCTGGTCTCAATGCCACCTTTCTCTCCCTTGCCCTCCCCTCTCTTACCTAATTTCTTGGCCACAGCTGCGTCCTTCTCGGAGTCTACCAGCCCGAAGCCAACGCCCTTGTCTTCCAGGACTTGGGCTGCTAACTGAAGGGGAGAATGAGGATTACAATTAGCCCCTGGAATTTTTATTATCCCCTGTTCTTCCCCTCATGCCTTCAAGTTGGGTCACTTGAGGTGCAGGAGATAGAAGAGCTGACCTTGACCCTTTGCTAAGATCCAGAATATCCCCCAAATTCCCTACAACCACACAGTTCTGTTTTGGCTCAACTTTTAGTTCATGAATGTGGATTGCTCGTTTGCAGTGTGCTTATTATTTGAACTTGAAGACACTGCACTCGATACGTCCCGGTGCCTGAGAGGTGCTGAGGAGTCTGGCTTCAGAGTTCCCCTTCCCTCCTTCAGGGTTGAGCCCTGCATTCCATTCTGGTCGAAGGCCAAGCTCAGTGTGGGGTTGATCTTGGAAGTCCCTGAGATTCTTCAGAGTGACTACCAATGGGAAGAATGTCGGGGGGTGGGAGGGTGGTGGTGGGTCTGGTCATGTTGCTGGGGAGTGGGGAAGGCCAGAGAACTGAGAGAAAAGATCACCATTTGTCACCCCCAGAGGGAGAGAGAATGACAGTGACTGGACAGCTCTCCCCATCAGGGCCCGACTTTCACCTTTCACTGTCTACTTCAGTCTGTCCTTAGGCTGTGGACAGTCACACCTGGAGTCCCTGCCCCCATAAGCCTTCCAGCTTAGTGCTCAACCCTGATTCTCTCTGCTGTGGGCACAGCTTGCAGCTTCACCCCCACTCAGCACAGACTCATGCACTGTGATTCTCAGAGGGGCGGGGAAGGGAGGCGGTTAGCAGGTGGACGGCCGGGGATACTGAGCACTCAGGATAAAAATACTCAGCTCATTAATCAGATGGCAGGTTCTAGCACGCAGCGGGGTGCACAGAATGAGGCCTGTGGTTCTGGTGTCTCACCCTGAAATGCTCCACGCGCTGGACAAGCTGAGGCCTATCTGCATGCCAAGCCAGAGAAGGGACCACAGGAGCTTGGACAAGAAAACTCGCATATCCCAGCTCCTAAAGGGGTGTGTGTGACCACGCCTCCCACTCCTTCCCACACACAGGATCTTTTTTTTTTATTTTCTTATGATAACTCCTTTCTCCTTTGGGCCTGTCAGTTTGAAGGTGAGAAGACTCTTCCCACAAACAGAAGATTGGGGAAGACATTCTGACACCTCCTGCAACCATCAGAATTTTCCAGTGAGGGCATCCAGCTTGATCCAACAGAGACAAATGGGGAATTAGGGAGGGGGAAGGAGAGAGAGGGGACTGGGAGGCCAGTGGTCTCTGGGAGATATTTAAACACGGCATGCAAGTATCAGGACATTTACATTTATACTCAGTTTGGATCTCGCTGGGGTGCAGCCCCTGAGGTACGTGGAGGGGACACGTTCTGGCTAAGTAGATGGGTGAGGTAGGGGTGCAATGCACACTGCTCTTCTCCCCCAGCCCTCGAGGCACCTCCCTTCTTTCCCTGCAGTGTTCTAGACAAACCTAAGTCCAGTGCTACCAGCCTCCTGCATCACGGAGGGGAGCTCTTCCTGCAGCACCCCCTTGAAAGGATCACCTAACGATGATAGTTCTTCTGGGTTCCCGAGTCTCTGTTTCTCATTCGATTAAAGCCACATGCCACTTGCACCCTGGTGGTCAAGACAGGGGTCCTGCCACACTGCCCCTCACCCCCAGATCCCATCCTCAAAGCACTGCACGGGTGTGGGATAGGGGGTCCCAGAGAGGGGCGAGGCATGCTCTGCGGGCCTGCAGTGCCCCCAACTTACCTCCAGGATCAGCTCCTCCATCTCAAATTGTCTTTGCGAGGCCTTGTCATCCTCGGGGGGCTCATGGTAGAGGAGGGCCAGCACCTCATACTTCTTGAACACATTCTTGTAGTTCTTTGCATTGACATTGACCACACGGTCCACACCATCGTACTCAGGGAAGTCCAGCCCTTCCTCCCCCTGTACCCCTGACTTGGGCGTCCCTAGCACCAGCAGCAAAAGCAGTGCCAGCCGCAGACCCGGCACAGCTCTGGCCCCCATCCTGTCTGTGGCACTCGTGGAGGTAGTGGGAGCTGGGTCGGCTCTCCTGGTCCAGGAGAGGTTAGCTGGGGTAGGGAGGGGCCCCTGGGTCCCAGATTCTGAGTTAGGGGTGCGAGTGGGAGGGGGGTTTGGGGAATGGCCCAGAGCGGTGGGCAGAGGACAGTGCTGAGTCCTGGAGAAACTGCCGACAGAGCCAAGGGAAAAAGGGTCAGGAGGAGGAATAGGAGCAGGGGGCGGGGAGGGAACCGGAGCTGCCCCCTGAAATTGGCACCCCTCAGTCCCCACCTGGTCCTGTCTAAATACGTCTCTGTGGTTGGCAAGAGAGATGGATAACCTTCTGAGGCCAGGACAGCTCCATGAGGGCTGGAATCCTCCCACCTCCTACGCTTCCCCACCAGGCTCCCAGGGGCTCCTTCCCTCCCCCTCCTCCAGTGTCTGGGGCACCTCAGCCCTGGTCCCCATGCTGGCCTAAGAGCTCATTCGCCATATTAAGAAAGGAAAAGGAGAGATGCCGGAGCTAAAAATAAGAGCAGATGAGTCGGAGGTAAATGAAGCTGGGGCTGGGGGAGGGGAGGTATAAGGGTAATTGGTGAGGGCTGAGGGTAGGGCAAGGGTAATTAGAAGTTAAATGCAGTGGAGAGGAGGAGCTAACTGGGTCAGAGGCTAAACTGATAATACAGGACAAAAGGCGAACAAATGTGGTATTGGCTCTATGTCCTGCAGCCTGGGAGTCTTCTGTAGGTGAAGTCTGACTCTGATTCTTTGATCCTAGGTAAGAGAGTGGGGCAATAAAAGTGTAAGCCAGGCGGCAGGAAAGAGACCCCCTGCACTTTTCTTTAAAGAACCAGGACCAAGGATGAGGTCATTCTCTGAATAAAAGATGGAGCTGTGCCCAAGACTGGCAACCTGGCTCAGCTCCAGCCAGTTCCCTTTGCCTTCCTCAACATTCCTAACTTGGGAGAGCAGGGAAGGACGGGGCTGGCCCAGATCCTGTCCTGTAGAGATGTGGGCTTGGGGCTTCTCTGCCCATAAAGCCCACAGTGAGAAGGGGATTGTTGTTTAGTTGCCACCTGTGTGTGCTCCCTACCCTGATCCGATGGGACTGGGTTTTCTGGGGCACAGTGGGAAAGCAGGATTTTCCAGGCCGCATGCTTTCAAGGAGAGCGAATAGCTATTATTTACTCCCATGTCTTTGACAAGACAAAGAGAATCAGGTATAAACACTGGGCGGGGGGGGGGGGGCGGGGAATAACATTAGGTAAACACGAAGAGGGGAACACTGTACCCTGAACCAAGGCTGTTGATTAATTCTGTGCACCCCAAATCCAAAGCAGAGTTGGGCGAGTAGGGGCTTAAACTTCTGGAGCCAGCTTGTGGGTGAGGACAGAGCAGTGAGTTCAGTTCTGGACACATAGGCAGGGAGGGCCCTCTTCATGGCCCTCCAGGGTTCTTATGCACAGGTAAACTGAGGCGTAAGGGAGACCATGGAGGGTTAGATCAAAGTCACATGCTGCTACCCCACCCTGAGGTATGTCTGATTCTAGAGGGACAGTGTTGTGTTGTGTTTTTGTTTTTGCATCCAGGCAGGGCCATGTAATTATGTTAGCCGAATAACTTTTCCACATGTCTTAGACCTTCCACAGCTAAACAAGGAAGGCCACAGAAAATCTCAGAAACCTGGCAGGAGTGAGGCCAAGAGGGACAGCTGTCACTGCAGCAGGAGAGGTCAGAGCTAGCCTAGGCACAGCACGTTAGAGCTGGAGAGACCTCAGAAGCCTGTATCCTGGGCTCCCTGAAGAGTGACTAACGTGGGAAAGCTCCACGTGCAGAGTGAGGACGGGGAGGCCTGCCCGGAAGCAGATGACCCGGGTGACGTCCAGCCCCGATTTGTCACTTCTGCATTCCAAGGGAGGGGGACACATTGGGACAAAGATGCTGGAACATAAAACTTGTTCCATCTTGAATCTGACCTTTTGTACCCCCAAGAGTGTGAGATGGGACTCTGGTGGCTGAGCCTGCTCCATCTCCGGGTCCTTTCCTGCAGCTACCGGCCATTGCCATCCATCCCGTTCCCTCTTGTTGCCCTCTCTGGCTCCAGTCTTACCCTTCCCCTTTCCAGCAACCGCCTCCACTGCTCTCTCTTGATGCTTTGCTCTCTCTACTTTCTACTCAATTTCCTTCCCTTCAGGCCCTTGGACTTAAGAAGCCTCAGCCACTGGTATCGAATGACCGTGAGTTGGGACCTCTGTATTTTTAACCCACCAGACACCCGAAGCTCCTGCTACTGAAACCCGAGGAGCTGGCCCTCTGTGCTCCCGCTTCCCACCTCACTCACATACACCCTGGCCCATTGATCTTCCAGGGTCTGGTTCAGCCATGTCAGCAACTGGGGAAGGACCCCAGGCTGATATAGCACTGTCCCTAGGAGACCTTGTGTTGAAAGAAGGAGGGGAAGAGGGAGAGCGGCCTCTGCAGAGGGGCCTGATGTAGGGAAAACAGCTGGCTATACTCATGATGCCTTCTCCTTGATAGCCTGTGGCCTCTCATCCTCCAGACCCACCCGAGGTCCTTCCCCATCACTATCCTATTTTTTTGTTTCTGTTTTGTTTTGCTTTTGCGTATTTTTGGCCCCGCCCTCATTGAAAGAATAGTCTGAAAGTGATTAAGGGTACACGTTCTGAAAACTGGCAGACCTCGGTTCCTTCTTGGATAAAACGGAATGGGTGGTAGGGAAACGTTTGTGACTCAACTGATGGTGTATTTAAAACCCTCGTCCCAGTGTTCGGTGTAGCGTGCGGACACCTAGTGCATGTGTTCTGCTTTGGGTAACAGCTGACGGTTTTCCCCTAGCTTTCTTTAGCCTTTCTCTCCCACCCTGTATACTTTTGGGCACAGCCAATGCTCACTGTGAAAGAGGCCTGAGAATGACCTGACCCACGGGGCGCAGTGGAGGGGTTCACAGAGCAGAAGTGAATGAGCGGGTGAAGGGGAAGGGAGAAATGCTGAGATGAAGGTGGGCAGGAGGGAAAGCAGCCCCGGGACTTTTTGCTCATCTGAGAAGGCCCCTGGGACCAGGCACAGAGGCAGGCTCTTGGGAAGGTCCATCACCCCATGCAGAGCAGGGCAGGCTGTTTCACCTACAGCAAAAACCACAGGGATTCAGAAAGTCTTATTACAGCCTCTATCTCGAGGTTACACCAGAGAAAACAGGCTAAGGGTTGGGATGGGGCTGAGGAGCCCTGATGACAGAGGGCAGAGGGCAGGGGCCACCAGTCTGCCTGGAGTCTGTCCCTCCTACCTGTCCCTTTCTCAGATGAGGGATACCGCTCAGCACATGGCCGTTCCCAAGTCGTTTAACCTCTGTGCACCTCAGGCTTTTGACTGATGCAATCAGATGGCTTCTAGTACCACAGTGCTGAGGTCTGCAAGCTGGTCTCAGGAACTGCAAGGCGGGTTGGATGAGTCCAGTCCTTGCCCCCTTTGCGGATGCTGTGGACCCTGTCCCGTGCGAGGCTCAGCGGCTCCTCTCTCCCCCACCTTCCATTTCTCTGATCTCAACTGGACTTTGGAGGTGGTCATTTGCCCGGTCCTTGCTGTCCAGTGGCTCGGAGAGTGACTTTAAGATGGGGCGTAGTCCTTAAGGGGCAAGGACGCTTGATAGTAATCCTATCCCGGCTTTGACTCTAGTCCTCAAAAGACTTCCCCGGCCTGGTCATCATGAAGACCTGCGGAGGGAGCTTCGCCAAAATCCCCACTACCCCCAGATCAGATTGGACACATCCAGCCGGTGAGGGCTTTCCAGGTATTTACTGTCTAGACTGGCTACGGGATTCAGCAGGACCATACCCCTCCCTGCCGGGCTCCAGCTAGATGCAGGCTGGGCTTCCCTTCAGCCCACCTCATCTTCTGCCCGGCACGCCCTCAAGCCATCCCAGCATTGCCAGTCTTTCTCATCCAAGGTAATTCATCCTAGGGTCTCAGATGTCGTGTCAAACTTATAATCTCTGTCCCCCCCAGGTCTCATGACACCCCTGGGTCACATGAAGCTCTTCCTCTGCTGAGTTTAGTAGTAGGTCTCCCTCTCCACCCAGCCTGTGGAAGAGAAGAGGCCGCGTGAACTGGGGGAAGGCAGAGGAGGCACCCAGGGGAGACAGGCAGAAGGGATAAAGGGACAAGGTTGGAGGTGGGCAGTCCGGAACACAGGGCACTGAGGGTCAGATGGAATGGGGGATGCAGTCAAGGCATAGAGAGGGCTGGGCTTCAGGCACAGTTGAGGCTGGCAGCGAGGAGGGGACAAAGTCAGTGATGGGTCTGGAGGGTCCAGGCGGGACAGGAGAGCTAGTCAGGGGGCTGGCGACAACTCAGAGCGGGGCCCAGGGAAGCCTTACCACCTGGCCGCTGACGGATGAGGAGTTTTCTGATTTCATCATAGACGAAGATGAGAATGCTGTAGGGAACGGCACAGAACCACCAGCTTATCCTGTGGGGAGCAAGAGCCAGTCAGCATGGCAGGAGAGACAGAGGCCAGAGGACAGGAACCGCGTGTTTTATCTCTTGTGTCTACTCTGGGACCGACCTGGGTGCTGGAGACAGTGCAGTTGAGTAAGATCTGGTTGATCCCTACCTTTTTTTTTTTTTTTTTTTTTGAGACAGTCTTATTCTGTTGCCCAGGCTGGAGTGCAATGGAGTTTTACTGTTGTTGCCCAAGCTGGAGTGCGATGGCACAATCTTGGCTCATTGCAACCTCCGCCTCCCAGATTTAAGCGATTCTCGTGCATTAGCCTCCTGAGTAGCTGAGATTCCAGGTGTGTACCACCACACCCAGCTATTTTTAGTATTTTTAGTAGAGACAAGGTTTCACCACATTGCCCAGGCTGGTCTTGAACTCCTGACCTCAGGCAATCCACCTGCTTCGGCCTCCCAAAGTGCTAGGATTATAGGCAGGAGCCACCGTGCCCTACCTGAGCCCTACCTTTGAGGTGGTCAAAGCCTGTGGGGTTAGCGATTGGGGGTAGAGAGAAGAGGCAAGAGACAGAAACACAAAAAGCCAGTGATAATATAATATGATAAATGTCATATTAGAGCTACATGCAGTGTTCACGAGATTCTCTACCAACTTTTGTGGCGTCACTGAGGGAGACCCCTTCGCACTCTGCCTACTCTAACACTTATGCCCACAAAAGAGAGGTTGTCTGAGCAGGATGGGTCTGTCTGAGACAGCTAGTGTGGGCTGTCAGCGAATAGATAGATGCTTCCCTGTTACAAAGGTGGGGACATTGTTTTCTTCCTAAACCTCTTTTTATAATTAGACCAGGAAGATGGATTCTGGGGAGGGGTTGAATCAGGACAGCAGTTGTTCCCTTGGATGACAGAAGAAATGGCCTAGACCAGCACTGTCTAATTGAAATACAACGTGAGCTACTTGTCAGATTTCACATTTTCTAGTATCCACATTCACATAAGTAAAATGAAACAGGTGGAATTAATTTTAATAATTTTTTTTGTTGTTTTTTTT